TAAACTATATAAATGCCTAAGTCTAAACATAGAGAAAAGTGCATCAAAATGAACTGATCACTCACCTTGAAAGCAGATGTCCTAACAGATGTTGGAACATGGTCTAGCAGAACATCTATTCTGAGTGTTTTAAATCTTGACATATTTGGTTTGTTTTAATTCTGTGATATTCCTTTTGGATATATCTCAGTAATTTACGCAGGTCAAGAAGATGCTATCAGGAAAAAGATTTTATATCTCCAGCTGTACACAAAATGCTAAAATTGGATGATGAGACGTTTTAGGAAACTTTGAAGATTTGTTCCTGCTATTATGGAGAAGATTTTGCAGGTGGTTTAAAACTGACAAAATGGAAGAGTCCAAGCCCATTCTGCACGAGGCTATAAAAGGAGACTTACTAAACCTAAAATATGCATAGAATAATTGTTGAAGAAACCGTGTGTGCAAATAAGGAGTTAGAGTTTGAGTTTTCTTTTAGTGTGCTGCTGTACTGTGTCACTTATGTACCTTTTGATACATTGAGATAGACTGTTTGATAGCCATTCATTAATCCTCTAGGTGCTTGAATTAGACTGATATTATTGAATTGTAAGTGTCTACTCTAAGCTTTTAAGCAATAGTGTGTTATACTTGATTTATGCTTTTAAGCAAGATCAAGTATTGTTTTTAAAGTGTGACTTCTTCTGGCCAGTTATGTTAATAAAACTTCTGACTGAATCAAAAGTCCAAGTAAATAAGAACCTCTAGCACATCGGTCATGTAAATAAAAACCTATGGTCGAGTTATGTTAATAAAACCTCTGACCTAATCAAAAGTCCAAGTAAATAAGAAAGTCTTGCAAATCGGTCATGTAAATTAAAATCTCTGGCCGAGTTATGTTAATAAAACGTCTAACCTAATCAAAAGTCCAAGTAAATAAGAACCTATGACAAATTGGTCATGTAAATAAAAACTTCTGGCATAGTTATGTTAATAAAACCTATGACCTAAATAAAAGTTCAAGTAAATAAGAACCTCTAGAAATCAGTCATGTAAATAAAAACCTCTAGTCGAGTTATGTTAATATAACTTCTAACCAATTTAAAAGTCCAAGTAAAAAAGAACCTCTAGCAAACCAGTTATATTAGCCGTTAACCTAACCAAAAGGTCCAAGTTAATTAAAACTGTCAGTAGGTCAATTATTTCACTTAAGGTCTATGAGTTAATTGAAGGAGGAACGATATGATATGCCTTAAGGGAGAGTTCAAATATATTCCAATAAAATATAAACATGGATATTTTAAGATACACTTGGTGCTATACACTCAATCAAGGAATAATGATGATAAAAATTCATCCAGGATAATAATAATAATATACCTAAAAAGGGCTCTGAGGGGATTAAACATTGTACTGAAAATAAAACGGACATTATCCAAACATTACAAAAAGTGCATCATCATGGATGGCTAACAATAAAAATAAACAAACTTAAACGTTATACTGTTCATCCTCTTGAGCATCAGTGGTCGGATCATCGGTCATCGCATCCTTAGAAACCTCGGCTTTAGGAGAAACTTCCTCCATATCTATAAATTGACCATCCATCACAGTATTGAAGAAATCCATCTCGGACACATTGAGGTTAGGTTTGAGGAATAGGGCTTAAGCTTTAGCTCTCATAAAGGCCTTATTTCTAGCTGTAAAAAGGTTTACTTGGGCCTCTTGCAAGAATTTATTCAACATCTCATTAAGCCCACGATCTTTTTCAACATCATGTATCAAGCCGGCTGTGGTTTCTTCAAGCTCCAAACATTTAGAGTCTGCACTTTCATTATGTTCCTTCGCTTCCAACAACTATTTGTTCAGATCTTCCACCTTGTCGGTGTGAACCATAAGGTTATCCATCAATTGGGTTATATCCTTTGTGAGATGAATTCCGTTCTTCTCATAGGCATCGCTGACTTCAAACAACCCCCGAGTCATAACAGCACACCTCATCAAGTAGACCCTAATATTTTTAGTTAGCTATTGAGAACCTATTGTTTTCACCTTTTAGTCATCTTCTGTCGCATTCAAATGATCATAAAGAAACTTCAGGCCATCAAAAATGTTGGACCAAAACTTGAATTTGGTTAACGAGTTAAATTTGTGGCTGCTGCCGGAATCCTACATCAGGGTGGTGACTGCCAAGTTAACATGGCTTACATGGTCACCCATCAAAGTTTTCATCCTCTTGGGGGGAAGAGAGGCATTTTAGGGCTCTGAAACACTTAAGGCTGCTTTCCCAGCATCTGCTTTCTTTCTTTTAAAGGCTCGGGTCTGGATGTCGGATAAGTCGGTCTTGGAGGAAAATTGTTCTCCCTACCTCGCCCTCGCTTCATCCATTAGCTTCTTTTGTTCCGTCATCTTAAGGTTCGTTATTTCGAATGAAAAAATAATGAGAAACTAACATTGCAGAAAACGAAATAAAGAGATCGCTAGTGTATAACAAGAGACATATAAGCATTACCTAAGAAGTTAGAGATTTGTTCTGGATCATTGGTCTTGTTTAATAAGTCCTTGGCCTTTACTACCCGGAAGGCATATAGAATAACTAAAGCTTAAAATTCCAGAGCGTCTAGCTTGTCAGAATCAAAGCCAGACACAGGCGGCATTTTACGCGTCCAATAGATCAGAAAGCATTGATCCTCATCCAAGGCATACATAACTTGAGGACATTTTTCCCATTTTTTACTCAAAAAAACTTATCTATAAAATCTTTTTAGTTGGTAGTGTAAGCTTGGAGGAAACTTTTCTCTGGAATTCCATTAAGAGAAACCCAACCTCCTTTGTCTGCTCCTTTTAGCTCAAAGAAAGTGAAGAATAAACCTAAAGTACGAATTATGTTCACTGCCCAACAAGCAAGTTCAAAAGATTAATAAAACCACAACCAGCGCAATTGAGAAGGGGCTATGTTTAGGGTTTTAAGGAGATAGGATTCAAAATCAGTAAAAGGAATACAGATCTTAAAATCCTCGATTACCCTTGAATATAAATAAAAATATTCATCTGATACTCCCCTTGGTCGAGTGATGCAAACTCTGTTACCAACCACACAAGGTTTCAGCACAACATCTTCTTTATTCTCGGAGTTGAGTTATAAGTCACTGAGGCCGAGTATGAAGAGTACTTGCAGAGAGTGATAAATGTTGAGTTGTTGCAAATGAAACAGGTCGGAGCCCGGACTGCAGGGTTATCATAGACGTGTTTTTGGATGATATGTACATGTTTGTGTAATGATTATGGGGTAGCTCCAAGGTTACACGAGAGTTACAGAAAGTGATCAAGAAGACGTTACATGATAGTAATGAGAGCGACAGACACTATAACTATTTAACATGGAACTTGAGGAGACATTTCTTAATGATCTTAGGGAGTGAAAAGGGTATAAAAAGGTTTTTCACGGAGAGAGGAAGGAACAGACAATTAAGTAACATTGAAAATCTCCTTACGTTTGTGGTCTTGCCTGATTCGCTTCATAGAGATTATTTAAAAAGTGTTTCTAAAAAACATATGGTTATTTTAATTGTCTATATAAATGACATTATCATATCTAGTAATGATTACAGTATGATCGGGGAACTAAAATAGTTATGGGTAAGAAATTTGAGATTAAAGACCTTGGTCACTTAAAATATTTAAAATATTTGCTTTGGACGGAAGTGGCGCAATTTAAACATAGAATATATGTATCACAAAGGAAGTATGAATTGAATTTTATTCAACAACCATGGATGATGAGATGTAGAGCAGCTGACACTCCATGGAATCCAATATTCAAATTGGATGTGAAGAAGAAAGTCCATCCACTAATAAAGAAAGATATTGAAGATTGATTGGAAAACTTATCTCCCTAACATATGCACAACCTAACATTGGTTTTCCTATTAGTATGGTAAGTCGTTACATGAATAACCATTGTCAAATGTTCTTGTACATGATTTATCTTGCTGCCTCACATTTTTATACACAATTATTGCAAACATCATATTATTGCAACCCACCAAACCTTACTTTTAGAACCAAAATAAATGTGAAAAATGCATTGTCTTCTACAACATTCTAAATATAAGATGGTGTCAAGAACCATTGGTTTTCCAATATCACTTTAGGAAATTAATTCCATTAAAACTTCAAGACCATCATTTCCAACAACTAGAAACTTTAACAAGTTATTCTTATAACACATCTTATTACATAGAATTCCTTCAAACACACAACAATGCTACACAAAGCCCAAATTTGTACTCAGGAGGACACAGTAACTCTGCCAATGGCTTCACAAATAAAATACATGGCTAAAGAAATAAAAGATCAACAAAATGCAAATTCAATTTTCAAATGTCCAACACGACAACGATAATACTTCATCATTTGTTAATCTTTCTGCAGTGTTTCCTGATTTCACCCCTTGAACCTGTTAAAGGAGTAATATTTCCCAACTTAACCATAGACTTGGCAAATTGTTCAAAGAAAATATCATTTCTTGCTGCATAAGTTTTCACTAAATCTGCAGATACTTGATTCTTTGTCAACAGAACTTCATCAGAACTCAACAGACCCTTGTTGGCCAATAAATTCTTGTAGTAGTTATTGTCGAATTTTACCGGGGTGACAAAGTCTAGGACAAATAGATTTTGGTCTCTACCAATCTTAGAAATGGTTAATTAAGCATCCTCTAGCCTACCCCTTCAAATAAATTAGTTGCTTTTCAATTTGAGTACACCTTTTCCATGTATGTATGCAAGATGTATGATGTATCAGTTTCCTATCTATTAAACTTTACATAGTTATTTGATGTACTAAAATATCATGAAACAGAATGTTTTTCACTCAACAACAAGAATTCCAAAACAGTGGCGTTGAATGCGCGTTGAAGCCACTTAATCTTCAAAACTGGATTAAAGTGGATCATCATTTGTTTTCCAACTTTCAAGTGCATCTCTTAGATATCCAATATGATTTGTTGAATTGCTTTGCTAGCACTCTGAAGGGTTAGGGTTAGAGCAAGGTCCTCCAAATATAGGTCTCATGTAGGCATCATCGAACTTCCTCCAATAGTAATGTATGGTGTACACTGGACTTTCTATTAACATAGATAGGCTTTCCTTTGCTCGGCTAATGTTGGTTTCTGTTGACTCATGAAAGGATAGCAAAGGTAGATCCAACTCCCCAACTGGTGACCGCGACCCCGATGATTCTTCATGTCTGGTGTCTATCCTGCTTACATGGTGGGGAAGAAGATATCTAACAAGTGGTTTTGTGAGACAACCAAACACCTGCAATGCCATCATTTTGGTGATATTGAAACATTCTAAAAATGAAAAGATAATTTGCTTGAAGCTCCATCATGAACTTTTCTAACTTGTTATCGGTTGCTACTAAGATTAAAGAGCTTATAGGAAAAAACTGATGTCTCACTTTAGACCATTGTTTTAAAAATGAGACCATAACGGTCTGATTTCTAATCCGATTTATAAAATTATGGCCTAAATTGAGCATATATAAACCAGACAATCCTCCTCTATCAAATCTATCAAAGGAGAAAAAAAACTCACCAGTGTGGTGAAAAGGACAACAATAATGGTGTTGGTAATAATTGTCGCTTTAACCGGGTCTGAAGTAACCCCAGAGAACGTGAACTGCATAAACAAAAAAAAAATGAAAATTCAATGGTACTTATTATGCTACAGTGGTATATAACTAGGATGTCTAGAAATGAAAACGTCGTGAACATACCTGTTTGAAAGCCAAAGCGATGGAGACTGCTCCCCGCATTAGTCCAGCCCACCAAATGATTATCTGCATCATTCACAAAACACAAGAAACCAATCTAAAAAACTATTTTCTCAGAGATAACTGTGACACTACAAGACTATCATATAAAACAGGAATAGTAACCTGGTGTTGTAATGTGATACTCGGTGTTTCTTCGACGCGCCTATTCATATAATTGACAAGTGTGGAGAGGGGGAAAATAAATGCAGCCCTCCCGAGCAATATTAAGAAGATTAAGCAACTGTAAATTCCCAACGAATTTCCAAATCTGCAATGAAGTTGACAAGAAAATATTTATGTTGCAATGAATCTCGCAATTATCTATTTTACAAATTTACTTTATTCAAAATCAGTTTTAGTCATCGCAGAACCAAAGATACACTTAATTGTACAGAGTCATAGACAAGTATAGTACCTTAAATGGGTCATCCTCCACTTTTCCATGTCAAGGGCATCCATACCCACATAAAGAAATATGAAAGTTTCTGCAATAAACGACATGGTTGCAAACACATGCCTGGAGAAGAGAAACCAAAATCAAAAACCAAGACCATGAGTCGGGAAATTACTAAACTCTACCATGGACTAACCAAATACCTGGTTGTGGTTCTTGAAATTTCAGTCACATTATGCCATGCATAGTGTGACATTGATATTCCACAAAAGAAAACAGTGAGGATTCCACTTAGTTCAAGTAGCTGTATAAGAATTTTCGGTTTAGATGGACGGTGAAAAAAAAAGTATCTAAACTTAATAAAAAGCAAAAATCTCTAAGTTATATGACTGTCTGTTTTGACAAGCTTATTTGAATTTTTCTGCCATTATAAGTACTTGTATAAAAATTTGATAAATAGCTTATTTGCAGCTTATAGAAAAAGCAGTTATCTTGATAAACACTTATATATAAGTTTACATAAGGTATTTCTACAGTAAAAGATAAAATAAAGTTAAATTGTTTTCATAAATTCTCCGAAACAATCTCACAAAATCTATGTCACTACATAAGCTCAAATAAGTCCATCTAAATAGACCCTATATGGAACTTATGAAACAACTTATTTTTGTTGTAGAAATAGCTTATACATAAGAGCTTACTAGTATTTAATAAACACTTATTTTTTAAGTGCTTAACTAAGTTGTTTATTCAAACTGGGTCATAGTTCTTTAGGCTTGTAACTGGTTTGAAATCAATAAAAGACAAAATAGTGAGCATCCAATACCTCTGCCAACATGTAGGATAGATATGCCATTAACATCATCATTGAAATTTCACGAACACTTGAATGTCTGCATGCATATGCAGGGGAAAACTTGTTAACTTGTCCTCAAATTTTCACCTTCATAACTCAAGAATATGAAATGGGATTGTCGAACTTTGATGTTTATATTTCAGATCAATCTTTAAATATTATTTTTAGAGAGCTTATAGAGAAAAATGTACATACTTTCCAAAGCTTAACGCTTTCAAGATATATGCAGTGACAAGTCCAGCCTGCATAAAAAAGAATTCATCTAAGTAAACATGAATTCCCGAGATAAAACTACGAGCATAATGCAATCGACTAAGTAAAAATTTATATAGGAAGCCGTGAATTCAGCTAATAACACTTGAAAAATCAAGTCTTAGTCAATTGTTGCCTACGATGCTCATTTAACAGTACTCACTATGACTCCAAGCGCAGTGCTTGCTGCGAATAAATACAAGAAATCACCAATAACACGGAGTGCCTTTCCGTTAAGTCTTGAAACATCAAGCTGTTGGACTGCATTGAAGAGTACAACTGATGTTGCATCATTTACCACTCCTTCCCCAAAGACTAAGCTGTATAGTAAAGGAGTAGCTTCTTGATTAAGAACCTACAACAGCCTCAAAATGCAGTGTTGAAACTAAGATCATGTGGATATATAATTAAACGGAGAAAATTACTGCTTGTTCACAAATCTAACCAACCTGTAGCGTACATACTGTGTCGGTTGAGGAGAAAATTACTCCTAAAGCTGAATCAAATTAAGATAAAAAAATAGTGATCCAAATATGTATATATAGATTTTTAATCATTATTTTTATAACAAAAACTCTGATTCAAAAGAAAATAGACAAGAAAAACACAAACAATAAACAGATGAAATTTGATCACAAAATTCGGCAAATTGTACCGACGTTTCCTACTATACAGTGGTTGTGCAGTACCATTCTATTATTGAAGCTTAGGATTTAAGATTAAAACTTGTATTTGAATACTACTGTCCAATTTAAAGATTACACCTGAAACATACCAACCGAATAAAAATTCTGTGTTTTTGCATAATATTGAGATGATGCAATTAATCTTACCAAGATAATCTCGCGCCGTCGGGTAAGAGAAACCCAACTTGGGAAACAGCCACCAGCTGCCTAGATGAACCAAATGTAAGGTGAATCCATGAAAATTATCGTAATGATAACGCTACAAGTTTAACGAAAGAGAAAAACTAAAAGAGTAGTCATTAGTCATTACCACCGGTAATAATAGATGTTGAAATGAAAACACCGACCACTCCAAACAGCATGATGGTCAAAAAGTTATGGAAGAACTGTTTCTTCTTCACCTGAAATCTGTTTGAAAAGATAAGTCAAAAACATCAAACTCTGGAATGTCAAGAGATGCTTCAAGTCTAAGACAAGAGAGAAAGTTTTACCCTGCATTGAATATTATAGGAGGAAGGAGATATATGAAGAATACTTCTTCATTAAATGTAAGGATTCGAGAACTTTTTCCCTTAGTTATTAACAATATAACCAGTCCAGCAATGCATCCCTACCAAAGAGAACATGTTAGAGGCAAAGAGTATATTAGCACCGAGACCTCTTAACAAAGAATTGTCTGATGTCTCACATGTGTCAGCGTCGAACATCAACACAAGATATAATTACGTTCAAGTTACTTATTTTTCCTAAAATTATTATTGGTGTCGACGACTTGAATATGTTCATGACAGATTTATCAGTGAAATCAACTAAATTTTCAACCTTTCATGATTAACAACAGGATTATGATGAGACAACAATATTAACAGAAATAGAAATTCTAGATTTCATAATGAGTATGGATCTTACAACAAAAATGGCGACGATCGATTCATTAACCCATCGACTTTCTTCAAGCAAGTGACCAATGAGTAAACATAGGCAAAGAACAGCGACAAAGAGTGTTATAGAAACAACCTGTGCATGACCATGAACCATATTTTTTTCCACATCAGATGTGAAATTAAGTGCAACCATCGTGCTCATCTTCATGGCCATTGTTATTTTTCTTCAGTTTTTGAACAATGATTCTCTCACTCACGCAAAAAACCTGATGTATGGCTAAAGTTGATGTCAGAGAATCTGGTTAAGTTATTTTTGTTAGGTGAATTTGAGTGAACTCTAAAGTGAAAAACAGAAACAGATGTGCATCAACCGATAGGGTGTAACAGAAAAGATGACACGTTTTGTTGAATGCATGGAGAGTTAACGTGTCACTCTTTACCGTCAAGATCAATAAGCACGACACTGTGACACTGTTAGGGTTTGATTCACGGTATATTCATTTGTGTTAAATAGTACTCCCTTCATCTCAAATTAGGATTTGACACTCTCAACCATATTAAAAATATATAATAAATTAGGGTCATATTTGACACTGTCACTCATATTAAAAAAATATAATAAATTAGGGTCATATTTGACACTCTCACTCATTTATACTGGTAGAAGCCGGTGGCTGAGATATTGGCAGGGTTGGCTTAAAATGCTCATCGAATGGATGCCAGCATTCAAGAACTGAATGACCATATTTGTTGCCTTGTTTCTTGGAGAAAATATTTTCCTGCCACGCCCTCTACCACGACTTTGTCTTCCTTTACCAGGATAGATGTGCTGACCATTAATGTGAGAGAAACCATTTTTGGCACCATTAGAGTTAACAGATCCTTAAGCTACATTCACAGTTGCATTTGAAGTGGCTAATTCTTGTTTGTACTTATCCAATTGCACTTCTTGGTCAAACATCAGGGTGGTGACTGCCAAGTTAACATGGCTTACATGGTCACCCATCAAAGTTTTCATCCTTTTGGGGAACTCGGTTTCAAGCTTCCAGGAGAGGGAAGAGAGGCATTTTAGGGCTCTGAAACACTTAAGGCTGCTTTCCCAGCATCTGCTTTCATTCTTTTAAAGGCTCTCGGGTCTGGATGTCGGAAAAGTCGGTCTTGGAGGAAAATTGTTCTCCCTACCTCGCCCTCGCTTCATCCATTAGCTTCTTTTGTTCCGTCATCTTAAGGTTCGTTATTTCGAATGAAAAAATAATGAGAAACTAAGATTGCAGAAAACGAAATAAAGAGATCGCTAGTGTATAACAAGAGACATATAAGTATTACCTAAGAAATTAGAGATTTGTTCTGGATCATTGGTCTTGTTTAGTAAGTCCTTGGCCTTTACTACCCGGAAGGCATATAGAATAACTAAAGCTTAAAATTCCAGAGCGTCTAGCTTGTCAGAATTAAAGCCAGACACAGGCGGCATTTTACCCGTCCAATAGATCAGAAAGCATTGATCTTCATCCAATGCATACATAACTTGAGGACATTTTTTCCCATTAAGAGAAACCCAACCTCCTTTGTCTGCTCCTTTTAGCTCAAAGAAAGTGAAGAATAAACCTAAAGTAGGAATTATGTTCACTGCCCAACAAGCAAGTTCAAAAGATTAATAAAACCACAACCATTTGGGCGCAATTGAGAAGGGGCTATGTTTAGGCTTTTAAGGAGATAGGATTCAAAATCAGTAAAAGGAATACAAATCTTAAAATCCTCGATTACCCTTGAACATAAATAAAAATATTCATCTGATACTCCCCTTGGTCGAGTGATGCAAACTCTTTTACCAACCACACAAGGTTCCAGCACAACATCTTCTTTATTCTCGGTTGAAGAAATCTTTCTTTTAGATCGAAGTTCTGAAATATAGTTGTCCTCAAGTATGTTGTTGTCGTAGCTGATAACTTCCTTGTCAATAAAAGACTCTGCCATATCCATTAAAATTTCCACAGAACCAGGCAACGAAGACTCCGAGTCAGTTTCACTACAAGGTGTAAAAATGTTACCATAAACTTCCTTAGTAATCTGATCAAATTCTGCTTTCCCAATATGGAACTCATACTCTTTCATGCATTCATCACAAAGTTTTCTTCTCTCTCGGACATTAAGGGGAATCGGTACATTCCACGAATCATCACACTCATATGTTATAACTATAATAAAAGAGTTAAATGAGAGTAAGTAAGGCAAATAAGTAATACATGAGACTTGTGTTTGTAAAAGCAACTAGCAAAAAGCGCAAAAACCTGGTCAACAAATCTGGAAGAATCATAAATGATGAGCAAAGGAATAAAGAAGGTAGGGTTTTATGAAAATAAACTTTACAACGATCAGGAAACTCTATCCAACTAGAGTAATGATAGCGATTAACTTCCCCATAAAGTCATCATGATAAGAAGAGAGAAGAAATATGATAAGACGGTCATCATTATTACTCTTTAAAAATCTACTTTCACATGTTAATTGGGCCTCGTGATCGGGGGGGACTTATGTACATCCCAAAATTCTCGAAGCACACTTGCAGAGAATGATAAGTGTTGAGTTGTTGCAAATGAAACAGGTTGGAGCCCGGACTGCAGGGTTAACATATACGTGTTTTTGGATGATATGTACATGTTTGTGTAATGATTATGGGGTAGCTCCAAGGTTACATGAGAGTTACAGAAAGTGATCAAGAAGACGTTACATGATAGTAATGAGAGTGACAGACACTATAACTATTTAACATGGAACTTGAGGAGACGTTTCTTAATGATCTTAGGGAGTGAAAAGGGTATAAAAAGGTTTTTCAAAGAGAGAGGAAGGAACAGAAAATCAAGTAACATTGAAAATCTCCTTACGTTTGTGGTCTTGCCTGATTCTCTTCATAGAGATTATCTAAAAAGTGTTTCTCAAAAACATATGGTTATTTTAATTGTCTATATAAATGACATTATCATATCTGGTAATGATTACAGTATGATCGGGGAACTAAAATAGTTATGGGTAAGAAATTTGAGATTAAAGACCTTGGTCACTTAAAATATTTGCTTTGGACGGAAGTGGCGCAATTTAAACATAGAATATATGTATCACAGAGGAAGTATGAATTGAATTTTCTTCAACAATCATGGATGATGAGATGTAGAGCAGCTGACACTCCATGGAATCCAATATTCAAATTGGATGTGAAGAAGAAAGTCCATCCACTAATAAAGAAAGATATTGAAGATTGATTGGAAAACTTATCTCCCTAACATATGCACAACCTAACATTGGTTTTCCTATTAGTATGGTAAGTCGTTACATGAATAACCATTGGCAAATGTTCTTGTACATGATTTATCTTGCTGCCTCACATTTTTATGCACAATTATTGCAAACATCATATTATTGCAACCCACCAAGCCTTACTTTTAGAACCAAAATAAATGTGAAAAATGCATTGTCTTTTACAACATTCTAAATATAAGATGGTGTCAAGAACCATTGGTTTTCCAATATCACTTTAGGAAATTAATTCCATTAAAACTTCAAGACCATCATTTCCAACAACTAGAAACTTTAACAAGTTATTCTTATAACATCTTATTACATAGAATTCCTTCAAACACACAACAATGCTACACAAAGCCCAAATTTGTACTCAGGAGGACACAGTAACTCTGCCAATGGCTTCACAAATAAAATACATGGCTAAAGAAATAAAAGATCAACAAAATGCAAATTCAATTTTCAAATGTCCAACACGACAACGATAATACTTCATCATTTGTTAATCTTTCTGCAGTGTTTCCTGATTTCACCCCTTGAACCTGTTAAAGGAGTAATATTTCCCAACTTAACCATAGACTTGGCAAATTGTTCAAAGAAAATATCATTTCTTGCTGCATAAGTTTTCACTAAATCTGCAGATACTTGATTCTTTGTCAACAGAACTTCATCAGAACTCAACAGACCCTTGTTGGCCAATAAATTCTTGTAGTAGTTATTGTCGAATTTTACCGGGGTGACAAAGTCTAGGACAAATAGATTTTGGTCTCCACCAGATCTCGGGCACTGAGCGCGCAGCTGAGCTGCATAGTTTTGGTCAAGAGTGAAATCTGACTTGCCATTCCCAGTTTGGTTGTAGAGTCTTTGTCTAAAGCTTGTGCATCTTGAATCACCTATAGTGTGACTACCTATAACATAACAAGAAATTGTTTATACAATAGGACAATTGTGATCGCCGCAACACGAAATAGATTAGTACTAAGGTTTTACCGGATAGAGCAACTAGATCAACAATGTTAAGACCCTTAAGCTTGAATTTAGTTAAGATGGTTTGGAATGTATTGTTCGGAGCAGGAATGTTGTTATTCGAGCCACTGATGCTTGCACCAAAAGAGTCCCTTCTTCCCAAAGGTACATCCCAGTTTGGTCCACCAGTCTGCAATGATTGAATATTAGATTGATATTTAGCTTTTGATGGTTAAAAATAAGGGTAGTAAAGTTCAAAACAAGAGGAAATATTTACAAGAACAGTTGAATCTCTAGCTGCTAGAGTCAAAATATCAGCACAAGAGACTGTATGTGGACACTCTTTCTCTACTGCAGATTTAATTTCTTCAATGACTTCAAATCCTCTAGCCGAGTTACGGTTTGGATTCGACCTCTTTTCGCTGATGATAGTTCCACTGCTATCTAGCAACACCGATGCATCACAACCCTGCAACATCAATTCTTTGTCATGACAGTATATATTTATGTTATGACACTATAGATTTTCTATATGTATTCACAAGTTTTAAAAACAAGTCTGTAATTGCAATTGCGGCCGCAACGTTAAGGTTTTTGTAGTGTCTGCAACCACGAACGACCGCAATTTTAGACATTGTTTACTAGATCACTAAGTAGTTGGCCTGTTATATGCAGATACCTTGACAAAACAGTCATGAAAATGCAGTCTCAGCAACGAAGCAGCCATGCGAGGTTCTTTAGCGACAGCCTTGGAAACTACAGACTTAACAATCTCTTCGACTCTCGGACACGAACCGTCGTAAAACTGAGGGTATAGGAAATCTCCTACTTTACTTTTACAGTGACAGAAAGGAGCAAAGACTAGAAGAGAAAAAAGCAAGAAAAAATTTATAGAATTGACCATTATTTCTCTTTCAAGATAACTTCAAGAACAAAAGTTATTATGAAAGAGTAGTTAAAGAAGTGCTTTCAACTGGATTGAATGAACACCATTATGGAAATGATAGTATTTATAGAGAAGAATATCAACGTGACAGAAACCCAAAAGCAAAAAAGTATCAATGAGAGGGGAAAAAGTTGGAGTTGGTAACAAACTAGCTTTCAAATCCGTATAAAAAGATGATGATAAGAGTTGTTAGCTCTTACCATGTCATGTATAAATCATCTATATAACTGTAAGGAATTAGCTTAAGTGTCTAAGTCAAATTCTAAATGTAGTGAAACATGTTTTTAGTTCTGTTTAAAGCAAAAGTACTGATATAGTAAAAGTCATAATTAACAATTGGTCTAATATCAGAAAAATCTCTAAAGCATTTTTATCGTATTCTTGCTTGCATTGCAAGACAACTAACACTTGGTCTTTTTATTTGTTTAATTAACGTCTGAATCAATTCCTTTCTTTTGTCATTTCTTAAATGCCATATTACTTTTGCTTTATCATTGGATAAAACAATGCTTAACCCTAACTAATCACACTATTGATATGTACTTTTTTGATAAATGCTAAACACCTGTTTGTGCTGCAATCTATGCAATCTATAAAACACAGATGCCTAGATACTAGACACGATACGACACATCTACATCAGTAACAGTATGAAAAGTAAAATATTTGAATGTAACTACATGTGTACATGTGTCGTTAAACACAACACGTGCAGACATCATCAGATACAACTTGATCCTATGATAATATCAAAATATCAGGGCAGTTATTATGCAGTTCTTTGTTCTCTATGTCTTATTAGAGGGTAGTCTACAAAGTGAAGTTAGACTCACCTGCTCAATTTATTTGATGGTAGCTCATGAATGTTTTTACTTGAGGAACAGGTATGAATGGATACCTACTATACTAGGTGTTTTGTCTTGGTTTACTTTAATTTTTGAGTATATAGTATTATAGTACTACTAGTATATGCTTCGCTTTGATTCAAGGGAAAACGACAACCTTTGATTATAGTTAATTGAGATACTAAAAAATAAGTGAGGGAATTAGCTGGAATCATTTCATATATTTCTTTACTTTTTGGCATTTTTTAAAGATAGATTATGAATACAGGAACGTGGGAATTAACTTTAAAGATCACCGATGATTACTGCATAAAACTCAATGTAACATTTTTAAAATCAAAACCTATAAAGTAAAGTTGCATGCCTAGTCTTTATTCTCGCATAATACTGTTCTTAAGGTGCTTTTACTTTTAGAAAAATGTTGATCCATCTGATATGTTTATAGACCATATGAAGGTTCGAAAATGCCCCTTACCGGAATTAGCAAGGAAAAATCTTATACTGTTGTGATCCTTTACTGAAATGTGTACTCTATGAATTGATTGAAATGAGCATGATTAAAGTGAGAACATTACTTGAATGAGCTAATTCAAGTGTTTATCTTTTTTCTAGCATGAAAAGACATACAATTGTTTGCGTCAAATAATAGATATAATAATAGAAATTTAGGTTTTTTTTTGATATAATTGTAAAATTTGTTTAATTTAAAAGTATATAATAAATAATAAATATAAATAATAAGAAGAAGTTATAGTTTGAGGAACTTAAGTGTATATGAATGTTATATTCTCATTTGTTGAACTTATTTTCATAGTTGTACCGCTACTTTTATTAATGATATTGTTTTGATTCAAAATCGGAGTTTGAGATGGCGTATTGACATTGGATGGACTCTTAAGGCCTTTACCATTTGTCTCTATCATCCAACACATATTCTTTGCATGGGTTTCACTCCTACTATCTTTGCTTAGTTGGCTAATCCAAGCCTCCACAAATTCTAAAAGTTCCTATCAAACTTATCTGAGTTGTGTGGTTTATAGTGTTAGTTGTGTCGGTTAAAAAAAACACAGTTGTAATTATTTTACCAACTTAGTCAATAAATTGGCTTCTCTCTATTTTTCTTTAGTTCACTTTGATGTTTGGTGTCCGATTTTAAAAGTTAGAATGTGTGTTGAGTTGAGAAAGACAAATAAGGGTGAAAAGTTAAAGTTGACTCTATGTACAATGTACCATCTTAGTATTATCTCCAAAAAGTAAATACATTTTATTTTTGGCCCAAAAACCAAAAATGCGAGCTATCAATAGAATGGAAACCTTACATTAAAATAATATTTTGGAAAAACGAATTTTGGCTTTAGTCTTTAAGATTTTTTTATAAATAAATGACATTAGTTATGTGACATATAATGTGGTTTTCACCTTGACAAAATAAAAATTCACGTAGTCATTTAAGCCAAATTTATAGTAGTTTAGTTGTAATACATCGTCTAGTTTAAGGTGGTCTAAAACATTTGTGATACACTACTATAGCGTGTTTGGAACATCGATTGTAATTCATCCCTAGAACTGATCATATAAAATGAAAAGATCAAAAATATAGTAGTTACAGTTAGTTGTAGTATAAGCCTAAAATTTTTGAAGATTTAAAATAAACTTGTTTTCTTAGAGGAATGTGAATGGCTTCATGTTGATCGGGGCGAGTGACAACATTCTCGACCAACCTCATGCTTGTAGCAAAACAGCGCAAGAATAAAACGTACAAGTATTTTTTTTTTTTTGCATTTTTACACAACGAACTATATAGATGTGACAAAACAGCTGAACCCCAACTATATGTGCCTACTTTATTTATGTTTCGTAACAATGACAAATACATAATATTTACCGTATTACCAGTACTTTCAGGAAATAAAAAATGACCAAATAGAATTATAATATAACGCCGAGCTTTAATTATTTTTTCATACTCGGTCGTTTCTTCGTTTAATGTTATACTTGAATAATGTTGTTTAAGATATTTTAAATTAATACCTTGACCCCTAGGTTGACCCGAAGTTTGTCCTGTAGTTGTGTCTTCAAACAGAGGGGCACCCAACAATTCTTTGCATATAGCATTATCTTGGTTAACTTTACCGTTAATAGTCTTACCATCGATAGGTAGACCAACAACCTAAACACATCCTCTAGTGTGACAGTACATTCATTGAATATAAGGTGAAATGTGTGGGTCTAGGATCTCCATCTTTCTAACAAAGCAAGAATAAATTTATAATCAACAGAGTATGAGACTATGTTGAGTACATGAGCAACACTGCCTCCTCGTGTTGGTGTAAGCCCTAGAGGCCAATACTTTTTGGTACTTGTATCGGATTATTCGTTTAATAATAAAAGGCATTTCTTTATTATGTTTGTCTTTCAGAATAATAAAGTCCCTAGAATAGTTAGTCTGTTTAATGAAATGTTAAGTGTGACTTAATCATGAGATCCCATTAAACATAAAGACATTATTCTTAAAATATTCGTAGTCAAGCTTTATTGCAAAGTGGGATAACATTAAAAGCATTGAGACTATTATGAAGATAGACTGATGATCACATCTCATGGATCATGGATAAAGAGTTATCAAGTCTTGACATAGGTATAAATATTAGGAGTAATATTTATACCGGATTGACCCGCTATGAGAATACTACATAGTATGTTATGCAAAGTGTCATAAGTTATTCTCATGGTGATAATGTTGTATTACCACCCTTCGACCTGAAACCACTATGGACCCTAGATGTAGAGTCGGGTGCTTTATTGCTGATCAAACATTATCCGTAACTGGATGATCATAAAGACAGTTGATGGGCACTCCACGAAGCATGCTGAGGGACATGAGTGTCCTAGATGGAATTTGCCAATCCTGCATAACAGGAGAAATGTCTAAGGGCCCAATATTGAACTGGACAAGGATGACACAGTGTATGCCTTGTGTTCAATATAGACATAGGGGCAAAAGGGTAATTGTACAAACATATATTATCACGAAAAAGGTTTTGTCAGATCACATGACATTTTCGTGACTTGGGTAGCAGTGATGTGTTGCTAGATACCGCTTACTGTTTATTATGTTAAATATATAATTTAATATAATTACCAACGTTACGAAATCCTACAGGGTCACACACATAAGGACAGTTTGATGAGAGATAGAGAAATCAAAGGAACACCGTAAGGTACGGTGCACTTAAGTGAAAAATAGAAATTCGGATAATATAATAATAATTATTGTTATTTTATAATGGTTATAAAATAATAATAAAATAAATATATTTATTATAATAATAGTTATTATAATAATATATAATATTATTATGGATCATGTGAATTGGGTTTTTAGCCCGCAGCCCACAAGAGAGTCTATAAAAGGAACCCTTGTGATGAAGCTTTCACTTGATGCAATTTCGTTTTTGATTCTCTTTTCTCACTCAAATAATTCCGTTCGTAAGCAGCTAGCACTGTGACCGGAAGCTGTTCGTGTGGACTGAGTAGAGGCGTTGCACTTCATCAACGCTTGTGATCGCTGCATCAAAGATCTGAATCGCCACAAAGAGGTAACGATTCTATCACTGACCATGCTCATTCGTAAGGATCACTAAAGGAAATTTTTGTTTTCCGCTGCGTTTAGATCGCAATTTTCCTTCACCTCGTAGGTGTGGTTCTATCAATGGCTCGTGCGGTACATATTCATGCACATGACATTGAAATCTCTTTGTTTTCTAACAAAAGATAATTAAGAAAATAAGTAAGAAAAAATAACAACCTATACTCTTAAGGAAATTAAATAAGGTATAAATAAACTTACAAACTCCACAATATTGTCGATGGTTCCTCGGTGTTTATCATCCATAGTTAGGAGAGAAATTTTTTTGAATGGTTTTGAGTAGCTATTGCTGACAAAGTGGGTAAGTTGAGAGTATGTTGCAGACAAGGTAGATAGTTTGAGTGTGAATGTTGAAGAAAATGTTAAGAAACACATCAATATATATTACATACAGGAATGTTGAGTTCACGTGATTTTTTTGCATGCCATCTTCAATGCTTGCGCCATAGGAATGACGCATATGT